AACCTCCTGGTCCCTCAGGTGTTGGGGTTTACCTGATGACCCCCCTGGTCTCTCAGGTGTTGAGGTTTACCTGATGACCCCCTGGTCTCTCAGGTGTTGAGGTTTACCTGATGACCCCCTGGTCTCTCAGGTGTTGAGGTTTACCTGATGACCCCCCTGGTCTCTCAGGTGTTGGGGGTTTACCTGATGACCCCCCTGGTCTCTCAGGTTTTGGGGGTTTACCTGATGACCCCCTGGTCTCTCAGGTGTTGGGGGTTTACCTGATGACCCCCCTGGTCTCTCAGGTGTTGAGGTTTACCTGATGAGGGTGCTGACGGCGTGCTTGGCCTGGTTCCGAGCATCGTTCTGGTCCTCTCCTCCGGCCACGTACAGGAAGCCGTCCATCACCGCCACACACTGGTTGAAGCTCTTGGCTGGCAGCTGGCTGAGGTGTCTCCAGGTGGCTCCGCCCTCACGGGGGTCTCTCCACAGCACCTGGACAGTGGGGTCAAAGGTCAGTGAGCTCTCTAAGCCTTAAAAGAAATGTGAGTGACGGCTGGCACCCACCTCGCGGCTCAGAGCTCTCTCCGTCAGAGAGGGCCGCCCYCCGATGGTGAGCAGGGTCTGCTGGCCCGCCCGGACCTGGGTGCGCCGGGACTGCAGCGTGTTCTGCTGGTACGGCAGCAGGTGGTAGTTCATGGCRTCCACCAGCAGGCGGTGACACTGGGGGTCCTGCATCATGCGGGGCACYGGCTGGACCTGGCTCACCAGCTCGCTGGCTGGGATGGTCTCGAAGCGGACRTGGGACAGGAGCTCAGCAGCGTGGGCCTGACGGGAGGCGTCGAAGTCCAACCACCTCATGGCGAGCTGGATCAGAACCACAGATCAAAAATATAACCTGAGTGTCGGGTTGACAGGAAGTCATCTGTAATATTTCTGACCCGTCCACAGCTGCTGCTCACATTTAGCTCAGCTGCTCGTCTGTTTTTAAAAATAAATCACATACAGTCAGTGTCAGCGGTTCAACCGGTACCACTGGTACCACCGGTTCCACTGGTACCACTGGTACCACCGGTTCCACCGGTTCATAGAAACATGTTTAATTCAAACGTTTGACCTCTGACCTGGAAGGCCGTGACCTCCGTGGGCAGCAGCAGGGCGTCGTCCTGCAGGAAGGTGGAGATCTGCTCCACGGTCAGCTGCGTGAACAGCGGCGTCTCGGCGAACTGCACGAAGTTCTCCAGGACGAAGCGGCGGGCGGCGTCGCACACGGGCCGCAGGCCGTAGGCGGCGGCGATGTTCCAGACGTACACGCAGGTCTGCACGTTCAGCTCGGCCAGCAGGAAGTCCACGCACATCCTGAGGAGCTGAGGGATCTGCAGCGTGGCGGCGGCCGACACGGTGCAGCCGATGGTGTASAGGGACATGTGGACACGCCCCAGGTAGGCGAAGGTGATCACRTTGGCAAGACCTGCGGGGAGAAGAGGAGGAGCATCAGCTGCACCCGGAGAATGTCGGCTACTTCCACTTTAAACTTTAGCTTCGGCTGTTTTTGTTGAACTTGAAGTGGGCGGACCCAGAGGAGAGAGCGACGGCAGCTCCAAACGCTTCATCCCAGGATCTTTGGCCAGAATCTCCCTGAAATACTGACTGACCGAAGAAATGACCAGTTTGTGAACGTCGAAGGCTTTGGTCTTACAGGCCAGCTCCAGATCTGTTAGGAACCTGAGACAGAGACAGATAATCTGATGAATAATCTGAGAAATAATCTGATGAATAGTCTGACGGATAATCTGATGAATAATCTGATAATGTGATGAATAATCTGATGAATAATCTAACTGATAATCTGACAGATAATCTGACAGGTAATCTGATGAATAATCTGATAATGTGATGAATAATCTGATGAATAATCTAACTGATAATCTGACAGATAATCTGACAGGTAATCTGATGAATAATCTGATAAACCGATGAGTAATCTGATAATC